TCTTTGCATGGTTTGTGTTCAAATGGTTTGCTGCTGTCTGTTTGGACCTTTCTGAACATGTGCAGCAAATGGACTGATCCAATATGGTGGACACTGAAGGGGGGGGCTGAGACACACTTAATATTATCAGCGTTCTGATGGCATTTTAGCCAAAAACATAATTAATGTTAACAAATAAGGGATAGTTGTATGAACCATACATGTAAACAGGGTTTTATGGGGCCCCCAGGAACTTGGGGCCCTAAGCAAAGGTAAAACATCCTCAGGCCTGAAAGTCGCCTCACAGCAGCAGGAACCGCCCCTCCTCCCTCCCCCTCCTGCTATCACAACACATCTTAACGGTGATTAAATCAGTGCTTCTAAACCTTTTCGAAACTATTGGAGCATTTAATTCTTTCCATCTCAAATAAAAATAAAAACATCATAAATATTTTGTCTTGAAGTTAGTAAGGATTCTAAATAAATATAAAATAAAATCATCATATAAACCTGTATTTATTAAACTCTGAGTAACTCCCCTATAACCACATTTAAACTGGATGAATTAGAAACAAAACAATTTCAGTTAGACGGTGAACTTTAAGGAAAAACTCACTTTTTGGTTGATAAACGTGTTTATTTATTTTCTCTAAAGCAGAACAGATCCCAGCCTGTTTTATTTTACTTCCTAAGACATTTCTCAGTTAGATCCTGCCACGCAACGCTTTAAAAGACGGAACTGGAAAGTTCAAATGATCCAAACTTTCTGTAAACCCAGTAAGGTCGTCCCTCAGCGCTGGTTCCTGTGCGTTTAGTTTCTATAGAAGCCGGATGGTTGAGAACTTCCTGAAAACAGGGATCCAGACCGGCGAGCTCCCGTCGTATAACGGATCTTCTGCAGGTTTTTTTACTCGCCTCATAACAAGTTTCATTTCCTGATTAAATATGATTGGAAAGCCTGTGCTATGCTAAGCTAAGCTAAGCGTTTTAAATACACTTCCAGTCCTTTTAAAGCTTCTCTAGTTTCCCATTCACTCAACACGTCATTTTTGCTGTGTTTTTAGGATGAGTAGCAGCAAAGAGCTCAGTGATTATTTTGTTTTTGGTTTGTAAGAGAAGCAGAACATCTCCCCACCGATGGGTCAGAGGTCAGTCAGTTGCCTTTTGTATCTATGCTTCTTTTTCTATGTCTGCTTCTGTCTCCTTGAACCCCAGTGGGCCTCAGCAGATGGCCGCTCACACTGAG